ACAGTCCAGGGGCGAGGATGGAACTTTGCCCCTGAACCTTCCCCTTCACAGTAACAACATCTCTGTGTCACTGAGGCAGCTCGTTCCTGTGCCCTTCTCCACAAAACAGCACTGTGGGGGCAAGGCATAAAGCAGAGCTGGTCACACAGCTGTGGTAGCTGAAGATTAACCCAGAGTCAGCAGAAAACCAGGGGCTGATTTTCCTTTGGATCAATTCTGACTTCACCTTCTGGCTGCTCAATAAAACAGTAATTCCAGACTCAGGAAAGAAGGTTGGACTGAAGCAGCAACAGAAGAAGCAGCAGCACCACCTCTATTTTGCTGAATTAAAGTCACCACAGAGCCATTCCCCTAAGGGTATGTTACTCCAGAGCCTGCCTGACTTTGCTTGATTGCAGAGATGTCTACAAATGCTAAGATCTGGGAACTTTCAGAGCTAGAAAGCAAAGGCCTCTCCAAATCCTTACCAAACTCTGAATTCAAAACCTCAAAATTTGGCTTTCTCTGCTGCCATATGGGGATCTGCTATTATAGGCCTGAAACATCCTCCAACATTCCTCAAATGCACTTGTTCTATGAACATTTCTTCACAAGTTCCCATCCTGAAGGCTAAAAACCAATCATTAACCTCAAAAAATCTGTAAAGAGAACAGTGTACGGAAAATATTGTGGTAAGAGATAAGAGAAGATCCTGAAACAAGCACAGAAAACTAACATCAAACAAGTATGGGCAGAGCTGTTCAACAGAGCCACACAGAATTACTGCAACACTGACAGAACAGGCTTTCAGCACCAAAACCTCAAACCATGACTTACTCAAAATGTTATTATTTAGGGACAGTTAACAAAGCAGCGTTAAACAGGCAGAAACCCCTTTTTTTTCAATGAATTTCAGCTTTGTTTTCCAACAAGATGAGGCATTAAGGGGCACGTCGTGTCACTTTTAAGGGATGCAAAACTTTAAACTACATAGAGAACAAAGCAGTTCTTGGCATAAAACACTTCTAGGAACTCGGAACCAGAGTTTATCCTGCACCTCCTACTGCCAACGCAGGCAGGAGGGGGGGATGTGACAGAAGAAACTTTCCACCCTGGACACTTCCAAGGGTGGAAAGACATTCCCAGTTACCAGACAGGCATTCGCAACACCTTTTACCACACGTTTGTACCACGGGTTAGTACCACAGCCAGCTCGAGCAGTCCAGAGAGCCAAACACAGCACGTCCAACACATATTGACGCAGCATCAGCACAGACAAGGCTGTGACAGGCACCCAACGCGGCTCAGGGTGTCCTCTGAAAAGCTGCATTTCCTTCCAGCCGTTCCTCGCAGGGGATGCCGACAGGGAGACGGGGAAGGAGACGGCCCTGGAGACACCGTGACGGCCTCAGGGGCTCGGGTTTGGGTTTCCCGACGAGCTACAAACCCCGACCCACCATTCCCTCACACCCT